TTCCCCTGCCCTGTCTGCTGCTCTACTTTCTGCTCCCTGCCCTATCTGTTGCTGCGTTGCTGGTCCCCATGTGCCACACACAGAGCATGCCCCGGTCACTTGTGGCATAATCCAAAACCCACTGACGTCAACAACGTTCCCAGCACTTGAGTTCAAGCCAAGTCCCCGTATCAACGTTATCCTACCCAAAGGCTATGAAGCGCTCTGCAACCCCTTCCCTGGAAGGCCAAACAAGGTAGCTCACGTGGATCTGAGGTTGCCAACTCTGACTCTTTTTCGGGAGGTTTTATTACATGATGCAAGGACATTAAAGACTGATCTACTGTCCTGTGCTCAGGAAGTCAAATGCACATGACTACCACATTTTAAAAACCCACTGGACTACTGTATAAATTGCATCCAACATTTAATATTTATTTTAACAGATGCCCTATCCTTTATCTCCTGGGTGACTCTCAGCAGTCTCCTGAAGATTTATATCTAATTCCTGGAGGGCAATCCCTACATGGATCCCATCATTTTATGAGCAATATTTCCTTTTCTAAGAGCATCCCTCATCCAGGGGCCTGGGCTGAAGCCCACAGCAACCCATGGAAAAAATCTCAGGGGGCTTTCAATCAGGTCCCTTTCTTGCCAACACTTCTGGGGAAGGTACGGAGGCCCTTTGGAGAGCAGGGAGATGCGACTAGGGTCAGGGTTGACTCCAGCTGCAAGGGGTGACACCGAAGGCTGGGAAAGGGCAATGGGAAGACGTCACAATGCATTTCCCTTCTGTGCTATTCAGCATGGAGATCCCTCCCCATCCAGCAGCGTTGGACTGAGGTTGCTACATGGGCATTCTCATTTGCATCCTCACTGGGGTTCCCGGCATATACTGCTCACCTTGCTGCCTTTGGGCCCGTCAGCTCCAGGAAGTCCCTGCAGAGGAAGAAAGCTGAGAACTTGGTTTGCAGACCCTTGGCTGGGCTCTGCTGTCCCGTACCACACGGGTAGACCTCAAGGCACGCCGCAGAGATTTCAAAGGGGGCTCCATGCTGGTGAGAAGAACTGGGCAGAAGCACTAAGTGCCCTGGTGAGCTCTCGCTGGGTCTTGCCCCACGTGGAGGGAACCCGGCACCCATGAGGAAAGCCCTCCTCCCCACCTGGGCTCAGACCTTCAGTCTTGGGTCCATGACCCAGGCAGCCCGTAACCTGCTCTAGGGCTATAGGCGTGACGAGGACAGACGGGACGTGCCCTCCCATCCCTGACTACAGTATGCTCCGAATTTAAGCGCCGAAGATCACCTGTTTTCCCAGGGGCCCGGGGAGTCCAGCTGGCCCAGCAAAGCCATTCCTGCCTCTCTTCCCGCGATCTCCCTTCAAAGAGAAATGCTGTTAGGAAGGAGATAGGGTTGGTGGCATTGCCCCAGACCTCCAGAGAGGGAAGGGGCATCTCTCTATCTTCCCCCGCAGACTTCTGGAGCGGGGGGTGGGACCTGCAGCACTGAATGATTTGGGCACTAGAAGAAGCTTATAGTAAGGGCAACCATGCAGTGGTTTGGGCTCTTCATGTCCTTAACTGGCACTAGTGCCCCTGGCACACGCCAGGGTAGAGTTGGCCTGAGGAACAGGCCTGCAGTAAGCACATCGGTGGTGAGAGGGGTGGTGGGGAGGGGGACACAGTTTGCTTTTGCTGAGCTTGTGGCATAAGACTCGATTCAGATGCTTCACATCCCCTTCGCGGGGACTCAGTGCCTGCGGCTGCTCTCAGCACCTCCTGAGAAGAGGCAAGGAGCATCGTGCCCTCCGCGGCGCTGCCAAGAATGAACCCTCCTCGTGCGTCATCCTGCCACCCCCAGTCAGCCTGGTCTGTGCCCTGCAAGCGTCGTGCATGGTGGGAAGCCTGAGTCGGCTCAGCTTGGGTCAGGGCGACACAACCACTGCCCGGAGAGTCCCAGCATCAGGACGTGCCTGGAGAACAGCTCTGCTTCCTGATTTCTTGCAGAGAGGCCGAGGGTGGCCTTCAGGACCGCATCTCCCTCTTCCCATAGGGGCCCTTCCTTCAGTCATCCCAAAGAGCCCCAGATGTAATGCCTCTCCCCCCATGCACCCCTCTGCACTGCTTTCTCATGTGCATGCACAGTCCAGCCCCTGTCACACGTGCCCTACCTTTCGCCCGGGCGTTCCCGGCAGCCCCAGGGCTCCTCTGTCCCCTTGTGATCCTGGGATCCCTGGATTGCCATGGATGCCCTGGATGCCTTGTGCCCCTGTAGGCCCTGGTGCCCCAGGCTCGCCCTGTTGCAAAGAAACCATACAGATGCAGTCACAATGTGCGTGGCAAGCAGCACCAGCCAGCTGGCTGTCTGGCAGCCTTCACTCCCTTTTCATCTGCTGGGTCATGGTGGGTTTGCTTCCTGTCCTTACCTGGCGCTACAGCCCGTGGCATGTGCCAGGGACGGGGTTGGTGGGCATCTCTCTGAGCACCGCTGGCAGGGCAGACCTGCTCCACCCCAGCTACTCCGGTCCCAGGTTCCCCATAAGTAGGGACCTACTTAACTCGTGGCTTTGTTCCGTTTCGTGGGCATTTTGTGGCAGCTCCGCCCCTGGGTGCTGATTGGTGGGGAGGCCCCGCCCCTCAGCACTCATTGGCAGAAAAGCCCCAGAGAGAGGACGGACAAGGGGGCAGCTGCCATCTTAACTGGTGGCTGCCCTTCATTCAGCCCCATCCCGCAGTGCTCATTGGTGGAGAGGCTGGGGGTGGGGAAGAGGGAGGAAGGGCAGTAGCCACCTTGTCTGCTGCCCCCTTCATGCCACCCCACCATCTGGCGGCTTCCCCCTCCTAGACAGGCTGTGAGACCTGCCTGAGGGAGGGGAGAAAGAATTAAAAACTTATTGTTATTAGGCTTTTATCTTTTGCATAGATTTTGCAGGCAATCCCGCATTTCAGAGTTTCTGTGAAATCCATAAAGCTGTGATTTAGGTAGGTCCCTCCCTACCTATAGGACTCATATACCCCCACTGCCCCAGTGCAGCACCCACCAGTTAAAGTAGCCCCAGTGCCACACACACCTTCCCCAAAGTCAGCCAACAAGCTCAGCTCTGTTATTCCAGGCTGCAGTGCACCCCAACCCTGTGACGCCTGTGACGCACCGACTATCCCAGTCCTGGGGTTTCGTGCTTTGCTAATCTAATTCGCTCCTGCTTCTCCATCATCCTGCTTCTGAAGTGGTTAAATGATCCTTAATCTCCCAACCCAAAGGAGAAAAGGAAACACATCATGTGCTCCCTAGACCCAAACATATTGGCAATCCCACCTTCAAGGGCTTGGCTCTTTTGGTTGTCTATCTTTGCAAGCCCCAGCTACCCTGTGGCAACCTAGGAGGCCGGATCAGGGATGCAGAGAGCCAGCTGAGCCCTCCTTGGGTCATGCCAAAGCAGAATTGACCTCCCGCTCCAAACTGGACAGACACTGACCTTCAGTCCTGGGGGTCCAGCCTGACCAGTGGGGCCTCTAAACCCAACTCCCGGTTCTCCCTATAAACAGAGGGAGGCAGTTAGCTACATTAGCCTGAAGTCAGGCCCCTGGTGCTTCCTGGACACCCACCAGGGACCCCATAGGAAGGGGGACTATCTCTTGCCATGGGTCACGACTATATTAAGGAATAGATGTTATTAAGATTGTTCATGTTTGCGACTTATATTTTGTGATTGAAATGTTGTATTGTGATATTGTAAATAGTGTTATTTAGGGTTTGACCTTGGTTACTGGTTAGCATTCTCTGTGTAAATATTTATATATGATATTTAGTTTTATGTTTTATGTTATAACTTAATAAATTGTATGTAGTTAAGAACTTTGGGCTTGGACTAACTCTATGAAACTATGAAACTATAGAGGAAACTATATATGAAACTCTTGGGCTAACTATGAAACTATAGAGGAAAGAGGGATCTGCTCGAAATTCTGGCATCCCTCTCACAGCACCTCCTCCTGTCTACCCATCCCATCTGACTGAGAATAGGGCACGTCCTAGGGTGTACCCGGGTTACAAACTAAATCAGAGATATATATAGCATAAGCTTTTGTGAGCCCAAGCTCGCTTCATCAGATGCTGTGAAAGGACATGCACAGAGCAGCATATAAACTGGAGAAAGTGGTTTGAATACAAAAGAAAGGAAGGAGGGGCAGTGCTGGGAGAGGCAAATAAGCATGCAAGAAAGGCATCACAAAAACCAATGTAGGTAACGGGATAAGCCCCCGTTTAAGCCATACTTAACACAATCCAGCCTATGGATGATGTCTTGTTCCACAGCGCCCATTCAGGCTGGTTTTTAAAGTTTTGCTCCCCGCTACCCTGTCTCCTCCCTTTTGTATTCAAATCGTTCTCCACTTTGTGCATTGTCCTTGCACAGCACCTGATGAAGTGAGATTGGACTCCCAGACACTTGTGCTACATATATCTCTGATTTAGTCTATAAGGCACATATCTACCCTGTCTTCTCCCTATGGAGACAGGGAAGGGAGATGAAGAGCAAACAGGAAGGCCCCACTCCTTCCACCATGGGCCCGCTAAGATCAATCCAGGCACCTTGCTTTGCCTACAGTTCACACTGAGGAGTATCACGAGGATGGGATCCACACAACCCACAAACCACAATGGACAGAGGGGCGGATGCAAGGCCCCTGCAGTGTGTTGATGGAGGAGAGTTAGCTTTTGTGCTCATGGCAGGACATAACTACAAGGAGAAAATAAGCAGCTCTAGCTTGGTGAAAACCCAAGAGATGCCAATAGGTAACAGTCAATCTTTTAACGCATGCTGCATTGCCAAGCTGGGCACCTGACAAGCAGGTGGGGATGCATGGAGAAGGGCTAGGAGTAGGACAGCGACATGTGAAGGCCAGACAGCAGCCTACGCAGAAGAGTTGCTAACACTGGTACCAAAGTCATCTTTTACCTTTTGACCATTTTCACCTCTGCTTCCTTTGGTGCCCTAGAAAACAAAAAGAGAGCTGGGAAGCCTCTGCTTGCCCACAGGGAGAAGGATGTGGCTTGTATGGGGCCCTGGGTCAGGTCGGAGATTTCCATGCAGTCCACAAGCTGCACAGAGGATCTCTAGGTGACCGAGGATCTCTAGCTGGGGTTGAGGCACTTGCTTTTGAGGCACAAAGGGATGGTCATGGGCTAAAAGGGACAAACTGCACAGACTGACCAATCCTTAGTCTTTATCTTGACTCTGGGCCACCCCTAAATGCTGGATGCCCATACTCAGACTAAGAAACTTCTGCTCTTCCTCTAGATCCAGGCTCACCTTCTCTCCAGGCTCGCCCAGCTCCCCAGGCTCCCCCTGCAAACAAAAAGCACCAGGTCACACAGCCACCTGGTCCTCCCTCATCTCCTTCATTAGGAGCTCCCACATTACCAAGGCACTCATGGTTGTGACCATTTAAAGGTGCAGTACCACACAAGCCCCTTGGAGGCTCAGAATTTCTTCCCGAGACACTTGTGCAATGACACGTCCTTGACTGTAGCCACAGACCCTGCCATCCTGGCTGCTTTGTCCACCCACTCACGGCCTGGATGCAAATGATGCAGAGACTCATATCAGTCCATTTTCATGGACAAGTGACTTCATGCATCAATTAAGAGCCTGGTCTGGGGCTGTCTATCACAAGGGATTGGTGGGACCTGCTGTGTGACCCCTACCCCCACTGCCTCGCCACCCCAGACCGTAATCTCTTGCAGTCTGCAGTCATCTGGCATACAATGCAAAGTCTGGCACATGCCTTGGAGTGGACAGCCGCCCTTTCTGCTAGCTCCTAGCCCTGACTGATAACCCCATCTGTCTTCCCTTGACGTCAATGCACATTTTAATATTTCCAAATAGCTTATCTGCTTAACAGCAGATTAAAAAGAGAACAGCATCTTCTTGGGAGCACTTCAGTCATCAGGGCAACGACCACAGTCCATCCCACATGAGTCACACTGCCAGGCCCAATTTCCTGCTGCTCTAGACCCCCCCACCGGCAGCCATTGCCACACCTGCAAAGCAAGCGTGACACATGACACATCTGTGTGACACATGACACGTCTGTGTCTGGGAGCATTTCACTCCTACTTGGACCATGTGAAAGGCACAAGGTGGTGGGGCATCTGGCTTGATGTAGGAGCATATTGAGATGACCATTTTGGGGTCCAGCTCAATGGGCTTCTGTAGCTCAAGACAGGCAGGAGTCAGGGAGACACCGGGTCTCTGGGGACTGGTGAGAACATCCATCGTGAAGATGGGGAGTGGGGAGAGAAGAGGAACCTGCCTAAGGAGGGGACTGAAGAGGAAGAGGAGTCCAGCAGGTGACCAAGGGTGGCCACAGGATCCAAAGTATTGATGGCCCCATGCAGAGAACTCACGTAACTTGTTGGGGAGTCCCGAACACCCTTCACCCCTTTTTTGCTGTGCTCGGTGTGTCACTATATTCCTCCACAGATACTCTGATCCCAGACATGGTTCAGTCTGAATCACAATGTTAAGCACGCGAGAGAAGCTCACTTGAAGCGTCTATGAAACTATGACTGCAAGGGGCATTTTCAAGTGAGCTGACATGCACGGGCAGTGATCACACCCAACGCCAGAGAAAAGCCATGCTCAAAATCCATGCCGCAGTTTCCCTGCTCCCTACTCAGTTGGCCAAGAGAGTATAACCTCAGAGAAAAGGGTGCAAATACAGACATTTGAACCTGAACTGTAGAAAAGTCCTCCACACAAGGGCATAGGAGTCTAGACCTTGCCTCAAAGCACGAGGACAGATTTGGAGGGGCCTGAGCTCTCACCACCTGGTAGTGAGGATGTCTGTGTATTTTCTGCAGGATGCAGCTGCTCTTGGCAATGTTGCCTGCCTGATAATAGCCCAGTAAACCAGGGTATAGTTTGGAGGAACTGGCTTCAGCTTCTCTTGCACTTCTCTTGTATAAAAATTTGCTTGTACATCTCTTGTATAAAAGAAAGGCCCCAGCGTCATGCTGGGTGTAACAGGCTGAGCCACCCAAAAGAAGCTGTACACGGTGCACAGGCAGCCCCGGCAGAGCCGAGAAGAAAACCATTATCCCACTATGCAAGAACTAGCATAGTGGGATGGAGGGCAGCTCTTCCCCTGGTCCCGGGGTTGCCCTTGTTGCAAGGGCAGCCTCATGCACTCCACCCCCTTGCTGCACCCGCAGTGTGGGCAGCCTGACTCCCTCCTCCCC